AGCAAGTCCTTGACCTATAGAGACTTGATGTGCACTGTATCAAGATTCTTTTCATTTGAATCCACAGATTTTGCACCATGGAATCCAGGCAACTGTTTTTCCAGTGGGATCTAGGTGTTACTCATCAGTATATTCCTAACACGGGGCTGAGCTTCAAGCCCTGCCTCTTCTATAAAGTATAGAGCTTGATAAATCATTAATTGTTGATTGGATTAACAAATCCAAATCCTGTAAGCAAACACGCCTATGAAAATGGCATGCCTGCCTTAGTGAGACACAGGGAACAAATAGCCTTGAACACATTGGCATAGGAGACCACTTCCTGAACATAAAGCCAATAGCACAGACACTGAGAGCAACAATCAATAAATGGGACCTCCTGAAACTGAAAAGTTTCTGTAAGGCAAAGGATACTGTCAATAAGACAAAATGTCAGCCTACAGAATAGGAAAAGATCTTCACCAACCCCACATCTGATAGGGGGCTGATCTCCAAAATATATAAAGAACTTAAGAAACTAGACATCAAAGTACAAAATAATCCAATTGAAAATTTTCACCAGAAGAATCTCAAATGGCCAAAAGACACATAAGAAAGTACTCAACATCCTTAATCATCAGGGAAATGCAAATCAAAATGACTCTGAGACACCAATTTACACCTGTCAGAATAGCTAAGATAAAAAATACTGAGAACAGCTTAGGTTGGAGAGGATTTGGAGTCAGGGGAACACTCCTCCACTGCTGGTGGGAGCGAAAACTTGTACAGCCACTTTGGAAATCAGTATGGCAGTTTCTCAGAAAATTGGGAATCAATCTACCTCAAGACCCAGCAATACCACTTTTGGGCATATACGCAAAGGATGCACAATTATACCACAAGGACATCTGCTCAGCTATGTTCATAGCAGCATTATTCATAACAGCCAGAACCTGGAAACAGCCTGGAATGCTCATCAGCCAAAGAATGGATAAGATAAATATGGTACATTTACATAATGGAGTATTACTCAGCTGTAAGAAACAATTACATTATGAAATTTGCAGGCAAGTTAATGGGACTAGAAAAAAACCATCCTGAGTGAGGTAACTCAGACTCAGAAAGATAAACACAATATGTATTCACTCGTAAGTAGATATTAGATGTAAAGCAAAGGATAATTGGACTGCAATTCACAGTAGTAGTGGATTACCCAATCCACAGCTCCAGAGAAGCTAGGTAACAAGAAGGACCCTAAGAGGAATGCATGGATCACCCTGGGAAGGAAAATTAGATGAGATCTCCTGGGTAAACTGGGGATGAGGGGTGGTGGCAAAGGGGAGGGGAGGAGAGATGAGAACATGAGGGAATGGGATGATCAAGGAGGGTAGGGGTGCAGCGGGAGAGCAATGAAAGAGATAGCTTAATAGAGAGAGCCACTATGGGATTAGGGAGAAACCTGGTGCTAGGGAAATTCCCAAGAATCCACAAGGAGGACCCCAGCTGAGACTCCTGGCAATAGTGGGGAGTCTTAACAAACAAAAACAACACTTTTCAGCTATGATGAAAATTCAAGAAAACTAGTGTTCCTTCTAGGCTGAAAATAGGCATTGTGAAAAATATATTTGAAAGATCTGGTTTTAGGATTGTTCAGTTATTGCTTTACTCAGCACTGAGAATGAATGCTTTTATAACTTCAAAATAAAATATGAGGTAGTTAACCTCTGAATTACCAATGCTTTTTACTAAAATCTGTTTTTAGAAAAAAAGGAAATGGGCCAGTGTCATAATCATACAATGAAAAATAAACCTTAGGATATATGGCTGAAAGGGACACTGAAGAATCTTACCTTTGGGTCATTCATATTCTGTGTTGTTGACATTAGAGCTATTTTCCTCAGATCCAATTTACAGGCTAGATTTGCAGTGGCAACTACTTGAACAAACAAGTCAACGAAGAAAATTATAACGGTATAAATAATTTCAACACCAATTATAGGCTTTGCCTTACCACCTTGCTAGGGGGAGAATTCTCAGTGTGAAATGTAAAGTAACATGGTCCCTAGTAACTGCAAACCTCAATGTGCTAGAACAACATTTCATAATTAAAATTAAATTTTAAAACATAAAAACACTGTCTGGAAACAGAAACCAAAAATCCAAAGGAGTTTGCAAATCAAATTCAGTTTTACATCTTTTGTGTTTACCCAGCCCTAAGTACCATTTTTAACAACTTCAACATTCTGGTATAAGCACAAATGTTCAAGAATGTGCCTATTAATCTTGAACTTCCTCTTAGGGACCAAGAATTGGTGCTTCCTTTTATAAGTAACCAGAGTGTCCTTAGTTATAATCCATTAAGAACTGAAAAAGAATAAGGCAATTTGAAATCCTTCTCTCTATACCATTATCCAAAATTAGTTGTCATGTTTAAAACATAAGCTATGTACCCAGAAGCACCCCTCACTTTAGAAACAAGCACTTACTGTAGTTGAGAAGCAATTCCAGAACATTGTGAAACAGGGTTTGTTGGTGTCAAGGCACTATGGATGTCACAGGGCAAGTCAGAGGGGCTTTGGTGGATCCAGCCCTGCGCAGAGAGCAAAGCCATTTATTGGCAGTGGCAGCACTGCAAGGCAGGGCCAGTCTGGTGAGCTAACAAACCAGCAGGGATGCGGCTGGCTGCACAGGGAGGCAGTCTGGCAGTGACGTGAGAAAAGAATGCTTGTTCTCTCCCCATTTTTTCCTTTTCTCCCTTCCTTTCTCATTTCCTTTCTTCCCCCTCCTTTTTCTCTTCTCATGTAGTTCAGGCTGGCCTCAAAGTGTGTATCCTCTAGCCCTTAAATGCTGTGATCACAGGGCTCACCACCATTCCCAGATTCTCAGGTGTAGTATATCTTATTATATTTATTATGTTCATTGGAGTGTCCACGGGCGTGTGTACACTTCAGAGAACTTTTGATGGTCAAAGGACACTTTTCGAGAGTAGATTCTCCCTTTCCAGCATGTGGAAGGAACTCGGGTATAGAACTCAGAGTATCAGGCTTGATGGCAAGCGGCTATACCCACTAAGCCATCTCACCCACCCAGATGTGATATTTCTGTTATATTTTTCACCTTCATGTCCCAGATAGATTTTCACCAAATTTTCCTACGGCCGCATACAGAACTGTGTTGCTCCACAGTTAGGGTTCAGATGACTCAAGAAGATAATGCAACAGCAGATATCCAGAGATTTCTCTTTCTTGAAATCATTAATTCTAATGCCTTGGCTTTCTTAAGGACTTAACTGTGTTGAATGGTTCTATAAACAGACACATTTATGTAAGAGATTTCAAAATGCACTTGGAGTCTTAAAATAACATCTTTCCTACTTGATTCTATTGCTTCAGAGAAGAAATTTTAATTATTCATCCCTGTGTCTTTATACCAAGCTCATTTGCTCAATAGTTCTTGGTTAAAGAAGCAATCTATCCTAAGAATAGAGCCTGGGAAACATGTACTAGAATCAGACAGCTCTAAGCATCAGATTTTCTAATCAGAATAAAGGGAGCCTTTTGACAAAGCTGGGATTTTAAATAATGGTGTGTGACTTAATTTAATAGTGTATGCTAAATGAGACAGCCTACTGAGTAGCAGACTGAGTACCAGCCTGGCAGGTCAGTGACTGTTGTGTTCATAATTGCACTTAGGCTGCTTGTCCCCCAAAGGTCACAGGTGTAAGCTCCAACTCAATATATCTGGTGTAGTCCCAAGAATAGTCAGTTAGGACACACAGAGACAAGCAGTGTTGAGCATGTACAGAAAAAATAGCGCTGAGAGGAGCAGCAAGGTATCTGCAGGTACTTTAATCCTGGATTTCCAGCCTCCAGAAATGTGAAGCAGGAAATGTCTCTTGTTTAAAGTGCCCAGCTTGTGATCTTTTATTATGGCATTTCGAACTAACTAAAACAGATTACATTTATTTTATTTGATTGTTTATCTCCTGCCCCCCTTTTGTGTGTGTGGGTGTGCGTGTGCGTGTGCCTGTGTGTGTGCCTATGGGTGTCTGAGGAGTTTGGAAGAGGGCATCATATCCACTGGAACTGAAGGTGGCTGTTAAAATCCCTATATGGGCTCTGGAAACTAGAACCCTATTCTCTGAAAGAGCAGAAAGCACTCTTACCTGCTGAGCCATCTCTCCAGCCTCTAAAATAGATTTACAACTTGTCACATCAAATGTGATAGACAGAATGCTGACAGGGCTCCACAAATTCTTGTTCCAGTGAACCAAAGGTTTACACATCTGCCATGTTACAGGAAATCTGGGTGACTTCTAGGGCCTGAGAGTGGACCACATTTGATAGCTGGTGAGGAAATGGGCATCTCCGATATATGATTATGAGTCCATCAGTAAGGGATGATCTTTGAAGTGGCTTCTTCCTAGTGCTTCTCAAAAGACCATTTTCTGATCTCTGTGTGTATTGTCTAGCCCACATTAACTATACAAAATTCTGTGTTTCTGTGGTGGTTTGAATAAGAATGGCCCCCATAGGCTTATAGATTTGAATGCTTAGGGAGCTGCACTATTTGGAAGGATTAGGAGGTCTGACCTGGTTGGAGGAAGTGTGTCACTGGGAGTGGGCTTTGAGGGTTCAGAAGCTCAATCAGGTCTAGTAGCTCTGTCTTCTTGCTGCCTGTGGATCTAGATGTAGAACTCTCAGCTGCTTCTCCAGCACCAAGGCTGCCTGCAGGCCACCACACTCCCCACCATGATAATAATAAACTAAACCTCTGAACTGTAAGCCAGCCCCAATTAAATGCTTTCTTTATATGAGTTGCCATGGTCATGCATCTCTTCCCAGCAAGAGGATACCTACTTTCATTAAGGCATTTAGATATACACATATGATATTCTTAGATAGCACAGCACACCCTCACACACACCCCCCATCTGCTTTCCTCTCTCTTGGTATCTTCTTCCACTTTTCTGTCATTTCTGTGTTTCTGAGGTTTCAAGTACAGCAAGAAACATGTCATACTTGTGTTTCTGCATCTGGTTTTGTTGTGCGGCTGTCTTCTCCAGGCTTGATATGACCATTGCCAACTTGGCAGTTTTTCACAAGTCCTCCATGCTGCAGGTTGGACTCTTCTGTGATGTAGATGCCTGGGAATTGCCCCGAGACGTAGCTGCCTTTGTGTCCCCTGTACTATAATTAACCCCAGTAAATGTATTGGCTTACTAATTTGGACATTTCCCCTGCAGAGATTCTAGTGCGCCCAATCTCATACCAGTCCCATGCAGCTCTTTGGTACCTTCCCTATCTGAATAGATTTTTGCAACTAGCCCACTACACTCAACATGATTCTCTCCAGTTCTACACTCAACATGATTATCTCCAGTTCTATATATAAGATGATTTTGGCTGGATGGTGGTGGTCCATGCGTTTAATCCCAGAACTCAGGAGGCAGAGGCAGACAGATCTCTGTGAGTTCCAGCCTCCAAAGCCACAGAGAAACCCTGTCTCGAACCTCCCCCCCAAAAAATGATGATTTTTTCTTCTTTGTAGCCAAATGATATAACTCTGGCAACAGTAGAATGTGTGTGTGTGTGTGTGTGTGTGTGTGTGTGTGTGTGTAAATATGTGTATATATTCCTTATTTATGCATCATTGACAGGCAACTAGACTATTTTAGTTAGGACTTCTATTGCTGTGAAGAGACACCATAACCACCGCAACTTTTTTTTTAGATTTATTTATTATGTATACAGTGTTCTGCCTGCATATATGCCTGGGTACCAGATCTCATAATGGATGGTTGTGAGCCACCATGTGGTTGCTGAGAATTGAAATCAGGACCTCTGAAAGAACAGCCAGTGCTCTTAACCACTGAGCCATCTCTCCAGTGCCCCTCCTCAAGGCAACTCTTATAAAGAAAAACACTTCACTGGGGCTGGCTTAAAGTTCAGAGGTTTAGAGGCTGGAGAGATGGCTCAGAGGTTAAGAGCACCGACAGCTCTTCCAGAGGTCCTGAGTTCCATTCCCAGCAACCACATGGTGGCTCACAAACATCCATAATGAGATCTGGTGCCCTCTTCTGGTGTGCAGATATACATGGAAGCAGAATGTTGTATACATAATAAATAAAAATAAAATCTTTTAAAAAAGGTTTAGTTCACTATCATCATGGCAGGACATGGTGGCATTGAGGCAGACATGGTGCTGGAGAAGGAGCTAAGAGTTCTACATCTTGATCCACAGGCAGCAGACACAGCAGTGAACCATACCAAGCATAGTTTGAGCAAAGGAGACCTCAAAGCCTGCCCTGCCGTGTCACATACTTCCTCCAACAAGGCCATACCTCCTAATAATGCCACTCCCTATTGGGGACATTTTCTTTTAAACCACTAGGCTGATGCTATAACCTGGCTGCTGTGAATACTACATGAATATGCAGGTATTTCTGTCATCTGGTGCCCGATGAGCACATGAATTCTATAGCTAGATCATATGTGAATTCTATTTTTTATTTTCTGAGGACTCCATATTGATTTCCATGAGAGCTGAATTAATTTACATTCTTACCAATGATATATAACCCACACCCGAGAAACCTCACCAGTATACATTGCTTGTTTTCCTAATTATAGCATTCTGACTAGGGTGAGGTACTCTCAAGCTAGTTGGAGTTTTGCTTGTCTGTCAGTTAGTCTGCGACAGAGTCATGCTATGTAGCTCTGGCTGACTTAGAACTTGGTATGTAGACTAGATAGACCTGAAACTCACAGAAATTCACCTGCCTCTGCTGACTTTAAAGGTATGTGATACCACACCTAACTCAGTGTGGTTTAGATTTGTGTTTCCCTGATGCTAAGGTCATTGAGCATTTCCTTCTGTGATGAGAAAAGCCAGTCTTTGGGCTGAAGAGATGGCTCAGTGGTTACAAGCACCGGCAGGTCTTCCAACAACTACATTGTGGCTCACAGCCATCCATAGTGGGATCTGATGTCCTCTTCTGGTCTGCAGTGTGCATGCAGATAGATCACTTGTACGTAAAATAAATAAATATATATTTACCAAGCAGTGGTAAAGCCTGAGTCCAGGCTTTTAATCCCAGTACTCAGGAGGCAGAGACAGGTGGATCTCTATGAGTCTGAGGCCAACCTGGTCTACATAGTGATTTCTAGGACAGGCTCCAAAGCTACCGAGAAACCCTGTGTTGAAAAACCAAACAAATAAAAATTTAAAAAAAGAAAAAGAAAAGCTAGTCTTTGATTTTACCTTTATTGTTATCCTAGTTACATTTTCTCAAATCTGGGTTCTAGGCAAATGAGAGCGTAGGAGCTGACAGGGTTGTAAATTGATAAATGTATGCTTACTTGTTGCTTAGCAATGGAAATGAGTAAATCATGAGTCATGGATAGTCTAGGCATTATGGCCCATGCCTGCAATCCCAGAACTGGCAAGAGGATCAACTCAAGGCCAGCCTCAGCTACCTAGTAAATTCAAGACCATCCTGGGCTAAATGATACCTAGTCTCAAAACTTTGAGACACACGAAAAGTTATAAGCAGAGACCAATTTGCAGTGCTCTGTACTCAAGTGGCAAAGCAAAGGGATATGATGTTTAATGTTAAGCAAATTTAGGTAAAAACTTAGTAAGTGAATGTTCCTTCTACTTCGATCTTTGTAACTTTTTGTTAGTTAGTTTGAAATCATTTCAAATGAAAAGATTCAAAAGAAAAGGTTAGTGACTGTCTTTGTGTGTGTGTGTGTGCACGTGTGCGTGTGCGTGTGCGTGTGCGTGTGCGTGTGTGTGTGTGTGTGTGTGTGTGTGTATGTTGTTTTGGTGAACATCACTTTATCTAAAACCTTAAGTTGTTCGTTGCTAGTGACGAAAGATTGCCGTGGTTCCACAGAAGAAGAGCTAATTGCTAGCATCCTTAGCAGGTCTCACACACTAGGCTAAGTGCTTCACGTATCTGGACTCATTAAAGTGTCACAACAAGGCTGGGAGTAAGTACTCTCCCAATCCTCTGCAGTGCTGTGGGTTGAACCCAGGGCCTCATGAATGTCAGGCAAGCATTCTGTCACTGAGCTACACCCCAGGCTGGTAGGCATCTTGTTATCCCTATTCGGTTCCTGAGCCTGTCCCAGGCTATAAACTCCTATTCAAAGCATCCCATACTAGACCCACATTCTCCACATGGTCCATCATCGATGCTCTATGCACACAGTTTCAGATCGACAATATGTCCAGTTTGAATCAGGCTTATTTTTTATTGGGAGTTTAATAATATTTTCCTTGTCTCCATTTTCACTTTGCCAAAAAGAAGATAAAAGGGGGCTGGGGAGATGGCTCAGAGGTTAATAGTACTGGCTGCTCTTCCAGAGATCCTGGGTTCAATTCCTAGCAACCACATGGTGGCTCACAACCATCTGTCATGAGATCTGATGCCCTCTTCTCAGCTGCAGGCATTACATGTAGGCAGAATACTGTATACATAATAAATAAATAAATCTTAAAAAAAAGACGATTAAAAAAACCCAGAAAAATAACAAATGATAGGGGGAAATAACAAACATTAGAAGAACCTTATCCAAGAATTAAAAGTCACTGTTTTTTTAAACTTCTTTCTCATTATTTATTTTTGGTTAATTTATTAATAAGCTTTGTTCCTTGACAGTTTCATATATGCTGTAGTGCATTCTGGTTCTTTCCCCACTTCCTTCCTTCATTACTCCCTCCTGTGCCTGCTGGCTCTCCTCTGCCCCTATGCATCTCTTTCCCATATGTACTAGTTTTATTTAAGTCCCAGAGAGTTTACCTGTGTCACCCAGAGTTTGGAACTAAATGTCAGAGCCCAGTGGGCTCACTGGTGGGCACACACATGGGTACTGTAACTTCCCTTCTCCTTGAATCTGTTAGTTGCTAATACATGAGCAATAAGTGGTAGGGCCCGGTGAGTCCCTCCCCTCTCCCATAGCTTGACTGTTAGGAGGACCCAACTTATGTGAACCCAGTGCTAGTAGCACAGCTGCTTTGAGTCCCGTGCCACACCATGCTTAGAAGATGGCATTTTTCAACCTTTCTCCCCAGCCTCTGGCTCTTAAGTCTTTCTATCTCCTCTTCCACAATGTTCCTTGAGTTATGAGGAGGTGATGTGAATGTCTTGTTTAGGGATGAGGCCTAGACTGTCCTTTCCCCTCGGCATGTAGTGCAGCCACGAGTCTCTGCGTTCACCCCTCCTCACTATCAAGAGAGACATCTCTGCCTAAGGCTCTAAGTATGTTGATATAGCCATAGATACTTAGAAAGTGGTTTGATGATCTGTCAGTTCAGCTAAGCAGCAGTTTTAGGCTTCCCCTAAGGACCAAGACCTCTGCAACCACAGGTTTGGTGCTGGGTTTACAGTACCCTGGGTTCCCTCTAGTTAATTGGGCCTCAGATGCAATCAAGGAGTGGTTGGTTACCCCATGACAGTAATATTACTATTGTACCAATACACATCTTGCCTGTCAGGCTGATAATACAATTTGCAGGTTGCACAGCTGAATAAGACCATTAATTCCTTTACATTTCTCTCCATCCTCCCTCCCTCCATCCCTTCCCTCCCTCCCTCTCTCCCTCCCTCCCTCCTTCCCAGAAGCCTGCTTGACACCTTCCAACATTGTGAGAGCCAGCCATCCAGAACCAAGCTGACAAATCAGTTCCAGTTGAATTCTCCTTATCTTGGGCTCAAGGTGAGTGGAATCTTCATCAATAGGGTCTTTTAAAAACTTTTTAAGCCAAAGCTGGGCAGTGGTGGTGCACGCCTTTAATACCAGCACTCGGGAGGCAGAGGCAGGCAGATCTCTGTGAGTTCGAGACCAGCCTGGACTACAAGAGCTAGTTCCAGGACAGCCTCCAAAGCCACAGAGAAACTCGGTCTCAAAAAACCAAAAAAAAAAAAAAAAAACTTTTTAAGCCAAGCGTGGTAGTACATGCCTTTAATCTCAGCAACTGGGAGGCAGGGGCAGATGTATCTCTGTGAGTTCAAGGTCAGGCTCGTCTCCATAGTGAGCTCCAGGACAGACAGAGCTACAAGGTGAGACCCTGTTTCAAAAAAATAAACAAACAAACAAAATGATAAATAAAATAATTTTTAAAGTTTATGTGTATTTGTTTTGTCTCCATGTACATTTTATGTGCAGTGTGTGTGTATGGTGCCCATAGAGGCTACAGAGTGTTGGATCCCCTAAAACTAGAGTTATAGATGGTTATGAGTCACAATGTGGGTGCTAGGAATTGAACCTGGGACTTTTGGAAAACCAGATAGTGTTCTTAATCATTGAGCCATCTCTCCAGCTTAGTGAGTCTTACCAATGGATTATGGCGGGCAAGAGCAATGGCAAGAGGCTGTATTGTTTTGGGGACCTCTGTGGCCTCCCTGATCAGCAACTACTTAGTTACCCCACAGTTGGCACTAGGATTAGAACCATTGCTTCAAGAACTGGCTTTTGGAGGTGCTGGCTAGTACCACCACACCTAACTATAGATGTTTTTAGGAGAAGTAAACTCTGGGAAATAGTTCCGAGGTAAGGCTCACACTTATCTTCACAAGTTCATTTCCCAGCACCCACCTCATCAAATCTCTCCAGCTTCCTTTTAGGGGCAGAGATATGGAATGGCATTAAACAGAGCTTACTGCTCTTCCAGAAGATCCGAGTTCAGATCCCAGTACCCAGGTTGGGCTGCTTACAACTGCCTGTAACTCCAGCTTCAGGAGAACTGACACCCTCTTCTGGCCTCCATGGGCACCTGTATACACATGACATACACACTCACATAAATAAAATCTTCAAAAATGGAAAATATTGGCCATGCAAAGTAGCACATGTCTTTAATCCCATCATTTATAATGTAGTAGCAGGCTGATCTCTGATCTCTGTTAGTTCAAGGCCAGCCTGGTCTACATTGCAAGTTCCAGGTCAGGCTACAAAGTAAGACCTTGTCTCACTAAATAAAGATCTGTGTGTGTATGGGGGTGGTGGTGGTGGTGGTGTGTCTTTAGTTCATAAATGGGATGTATGTAAATGATAAATTATAAAATATATTTAGGGCTGGAGAGATGGCTCAGCGGTTAAGAGCACTGACTGTTCTTCCAGAGATCCTGAGTTCAATTCCCAGCAACCACATGGTGGCTCACAACCACCTTGAATGAGATCTGGTGCCCTCTGCTGGCATGCGGGCAGAAAACTGTATACACAATAAATAAAATATTTATATATATATACATATATATATATTTAAATGGGGCTAAATATTAATTACTTGTAACTAGTGGTGGTTTGAATGAGAATGGGCTCCATAGGCTCATATATTTGAATATTTAGTCCCCAGTTGTTTGGAAAAGATTAGGAGGTGTAGTCTTGTTAGGTGTGTCACTAGGGGTGAACTTTGAAGTTTCAAAAGCCCACATCATTCCCAGTCTCCTCTCTCTCTCCCACCCTCCCTCCCTCTTTCTCTCTCTCTCTTCCTCTCCCTCTCCCTCTCCCTCTTCCTCTCCCCCCCTCTGTTTGTGTGTGTGTGTGTGTGCGCGCTCACATGCACATCTGTCTCTATAGATCTGTCTTTCTTTCTCTCTCTCTACTTCCTGCTTGTGGATCAGATATAAGCTCCCAGCTCCTGCTCCAGCACAATGCCTGCCTGCCTGCTGCCATGCTCCCTGTCACAATGAGCATGGACACTAACCCTCTGGAACTGTAAGTCCTCAATAAACTCTTCTAGATGTTGCCATGGTCTTGTTGTCTTATCACAGCAACAAAAAATAACTAATACATGGTTAGTTGATATTTTGGAGACATTTAGCCACATTTACTAATTTCAGTTTGAGAATTTAAAAACTTTTGGGGTGGTGGAGAGATGATGCAGTCTGTAAAGTGCTTGTCACACACACGTGAAGACTTGAACTCACTGCCCAGCACCAATGTAAAAGCCACAAGTGCCCCTGTCATCCCAGCACAAGAGAGGTAGAAACAGGAGGATCCTCAGTGTTGGTTGGTCAGTGGCTGAATCTGGGAGCTCCAGGTCACAGAGAGACCCTGTCTCCAAAAGCACAGTGAAGAGCAATAGGGAAAAACACTGATGTCAACCTCTGGCTTTCACATGCATGTACATTCACATATTTACCCAAGCACCTCCCCATGAACACATGCACATATACATGTAAATAAAAACTCTAGCCGGGAGGTGGTGGCACATGCCTTTAATTCCAGCACTCAGGAGGCAGAGGCAGAGGGATCTCCGTGAGTTCAAGACCAGCCTGGTCTATAAGAGCTAGTTCCAGGACACCCTCCAAAGTCACAGAGAAACCCTGTCTTGAAAAACAAAATAAATAAATAAATAAATAAATAAAAATAAAAATAAAACAAAAAAAACCCCTCTAGAACCAGTAGGATCTTTGTTTGTTTACTTTTGCAGCTCCTAAATCATAGCTTAAAATTTCTAGGTCCTAGGCACCAGGCCTCAGCCTCTCTCAAATACAGTCATACCAATTTTAGGCCTGGAGTCTGGCAAGAAAAATAGAGCTTTCTGGTCAACAAGTTCAAAATTACAAATAAAATAAGAGTTCTATTATTTTATTGTACCCTAGAGTAACTAGTTGACAATCATGGATATTTTAAAATTGTAAAAGATTGTGAATATTCCACCAGCAATAAATGATGAATGAGTGATAGCTATGTTCAGTACAATCAGTTGATCATTATACAATATATCCATGTATCAGAACATCAGACGGTTCCCTATAAACCTGAAGAACTATTGATCAGAAATCAACAAAAGAACTGTAGATCAACTGTAGTGTTGAAGGAATGTTAGGAAAGGCTGTTTCACTAGGGGGCGCTCCTTCCTCTCCATGAAAGGAAGAGCTGGTTTGGGGAGCAGGAGGGGATTAGTACATGCCCTGGATGCAGAAGATCCGAGGATACTTTCTCAAAAACATCGGATTAACTACTGTATTAGTTAATGCAAATATGTTTGTGCATTTTATACTGGCAGGTTTGGTTTACAGCAGCTAACCCGGAAGTGTTTGCAGAGCAATTGATGACTGTTAAATGTTGGACGCAGGTTTTTTGGCCTAGGAAATACCTGAAAACCAAGCATCTACATGAATGCAGTGAGGCCTCTGAGTCCACATTAGGCTAGGACAGTTTTTATTTGTTTGTTTTGTT